AATTTGAAAGATGTTTTGGAGAAAGGTGAGGAAATCGAGATCGACTTATTAGAAGCTATCGCCACTGAAGAACGTGCTGAAGAGTATCCAGAGTGTTCAGAAATTCTTGTCGTTGAAAAAGTAGACTTGTCTACATTGCGATGGAGGAAAAAACCATTTGGTGTAAAAGACGTACCATTCAAAAAGCCTGTAGAAGATGTTCAAATGGTGAATAGACCAATAGAGTATTTCAGATCGTTTTTTGATGATGCAGTTATTGAGCTGATTGTAAAAGAGACTAACTTATATGCACTTCAAGAGTCTGAGTCTGAACTTAAATGCACTAAAGAGGAAATTTGTCGATACTTTGGCGTTTTGTTATATTTGGGTGTGATTCAGCTTCCGAATTTCAAAATGGCATGGACCCAAGAGCTAAAGTTGACTGCAGTAACCGATTCGATGCCATGCAACAAATTTGAAGAAAATAAAGTAGTTCCTCCATTTCTCGGACAAATCGGAGCAAATAAAACAAGGTTATTCTAACTATGATAAGCTTTACAAAGTATATCCAATTTAATTGATCCTCAAAGACAAATTTAACAGTCTACCTCAAGAGGAACACCAAAGTATTGATGAGCAAGTAATAGCATACAAAGGTAAGGTCAAATTTTCACGATGTCAAAAAGGAATATTTTTGGACTCCTTGTACTTAAAATTTTTAGGAAGATCAGTATTCAAGCAATATAATCCCGCCAAGCCCCATAAATGGGGAATGAAAATGTTTACCCGAGCAGGTTCATTGGGAATTATATATGACTTCGCTCTCTATGTTGGTGATGGAACTTGCCCCTCATATGGACTTGGAATATCATCTGACATTGTTTTATATTTCGCATCCGCGGTCCCGGAATTTAAAAACTAAAAGCTGTACTTCGATAACTGGTTTACCTCGGTCAGTCTTATTGTATCTTTGAAAGAACCGGCACTGTCAGAAAAAACCGAATGGGCAATTGCGAATTGAAATCCGAATCTGATTTGAAAAAGCTTGGCAGAGGATCTTACGATATGAAGTGCGAAGTCAACCATGGAATTGATTCAGTTCGTTGGTTGGACAGCAAAGCGGTGCAGTTGTTATCTACATTTGTTGGAGATGATCCAATTGGAGCATGCCGTCGTTGGAGCGCAAAGAAAAAACAGTTTATTGATGTCGCGAAACCAGCTATTGTATCACATGGGAGGAGTTGACCTCTCTGACATGCTTATGGAGCTCTATAAAATCAATCATCGTTCTGTTAAATGGTAGTTGCGAATATTTTACTGGTCTTTGGGAACGGCTGTAACAAATTCCTGGCTTTTGTATCGCAAGCACCTCAAAATGGTCGAGCAGAACGCAAAGCATATGCCACTTATAAAATTTCAGATGGAAATAGCAAATGAGTTGTTAAATGCTGCACCAACCATCTCGAGCTCAGTACAAAGGAAAAGAGGACGACCCAGTAAAAATATTTTGGAACAAGAGAAAATAGATTCATCACAGTCATCTCCGTCTTCTTTTGCATCCAGTTCCAGTTCCAAGCGCCGTAAAGTGACTTATGATCCGCCAAATTCGAAGATATATGATGAAAGCAGCCATTGGGTGGTATGGGGAGATAAAGGTCGATGCCGCCTTTGCAAGACGGGAACACCCCTATCAAAATGAATGAAATGTAATATCCACCTATGATGCAACACAAGTAAAAATTGTTTTCTATCGTATCATACGTGAGGTATTATACTGCCAAAAAATATTCTTCAATAAATAAAGAGCGAAAAGTATATTTTCATAACCTTGTTTTAATTTTTGAATGCTACGAAATACTTCCTCAACGGCCCAAAGTTGCTTATAAGCAACTTCTAATATCTAGTGACCCGATAACTCCAGAAGTCTGAAATCTTCAAAAATCCTTAATTTAGGTCTAATAATTACGGAAATCATGAAAAAAATGTTCGGACAGTTGGTTCAAGAGCGGGGCCGAAAGGGTTAAATTAGCGCTAACGGGCACTTAACTAATGATCGTTAAATCTGTTAATTAATGTTTCCTCTCAGAGTTAAAAATTATGAAATACAAAATTTTAGTATGGCCCCAGTTGTGGCCCTTCATTTCTGTGGTATCACTCACCTTTTTCGTTCAGTGTGAAATAAAATATAAAAATAAGTATTTATATCATTTTGCGCGCGCTGGCTGAACAGACGCAATGGCTAAGTGAGCAGAGCACTGGCGTGCCATTCGAGAGATCCGAGTTCGAGTCCTAGGGCAGGAAAATTTTCTTTTTCGTTTTTTATTTTTCTTTTTTCTTGTTTAATTTTTATGAAATATCTTTATTGAATTTTTTTGCTTTTTTGGTCTAATTTTCTGTTGATTTATAGATTTTATTGCTTTGAAAAGGAAACTTTTTTTTANCATTCGAGAGATCCGAGTTCGAGTCCTAGGGCAGGAAAATTTTCTTTTTCGTTTTTTATTTTTCTTTTTTCTTGTTTAATTTTTATGAAATATCTTTATTGAATTTTTTTGCTTTTTTGGTCTAATTTTCTGTTGATTTATAGATTTTATTGCTTTGAAAAGGAAACTTTTTTTTAAATTTAATTAAATTGTTTGCTAAGAAACAAACAGGCCAATTCTGGCATCTGTCTTTCAACCCACCTCAGTCTTTCGAAAGGCAAAAGTCTTTATATTCCGGCAACTATCTTGAAAGCCCTGTTCTGTATTTGGAATAACTAATTGAAAGATGTGCTAATAGTGTTATTATATTTATCGTTTAGCAATAAGTTTTCTAGACACTAAGCGAAATGGAAAAAATATTTTTTTAAAGCAGGAAAAACTAAAAATTTGAGAAACTGAAACTAAAAGAAAAAAGATGAATCAAAAAAGTTTCCAAACGTAAAATAAAATAAAAAATATGCATTTTTTAAGCAATAAAACTCAAAAAAAAAAATTCGTTGCCGTGGATTGAACTCGGANAGATGTGCTAATAGTGTTATTATATTTATCGTTTAGCAATAAGTTTTCTAGACACTAAGCGAAATGGAAAGAATATTTTTTTAAAGCAGGAAAAACTAAAAATTTGAGAAACTGAAACTAAAAGAAAAAAGATGAATCAAAAAAGTTTCCAAACGTAAAATAAAATAAAAAATATGCATTTTTTAAGCAATAAAACTCAAAAAAAAAAATTCGTTGCCGTGGATTGAACTCGGATCTCTTGAATAGCACGAAAGTGCTATTGCTCACTGGGCCATTGCCCACCGGTTTTGGACCGAACCGGTTTTGAACCGGAAAACCGTTTTTTTTATATAAACTAACTGAGCCATTAACCGATCCGAATTTTTCACAAATGTTGGATCCGAACCGAAAACCGAACCACTTTTCATAAAGGTTTAAATGCTCGTTTCAACCAAAAGTTTGTTTACCATGTGCCAATATCAAATGTAATGGCAACCTATCTCATTTGACAGACACATGACATTTATCCTTGCGTGTTGTTGCACTTGAATCTTGACGCTTAAATTTTTTAATTAATTAATTAATGCCAACGGTTTTTACGCTCATTTCCCGCCCAACCGAAACGAGGGGCGCAGTCCGCATGACGTACGGAACTTTTTTTTTAATATGTTTTTTTTTTGGTACAGAGTCGTGGAAACAGGAGTTTAAGTGTCGAGATCTAAAACTATTCAGCTACAGAAAAAAATTCATCAGCTCATTGGATATGCTAAAGATAGTATTTCAATTATTGAGAGTGGAAATGATAGTTTTCTTTATAGTAAAAATCGAGTCCAAAATTAGTCCTGCGTGGCTTCAAAAACAGAAGTCAAAAGTGTCTTGACACTCGACAGGAAATATTAAAATTTACCTCAGCCAGAAGGGCTGGGCTATCTAATCAAGCCCGTCGTTAATTTTACGATAAATATTATATCTAGCATTTCTCTACGACTTGCGAGTGTAGGCAAATTTATGAGCTTTAGACGACTAGTGTAAGGTGTGAGATTGTAGTCTTAATCCCAGTTAAAATCACGCAATGCAAAAAGCAAAAATTGTTTTTGAATTGATTCAATCCTTTCTAAATGAACTTGGTACCGGGGATTCCAGACAATAGATCCGTATTCTAGTATAGGTCTAATTAAAGTGGTAAAAAGAGCTTTTGTAACATAAGGATCTTTAAACTCTTTTGACTATCGCTTTACAAATGCAAAAACGCCTCTGGCTTTATTGACTGTAACATTAAAATGAAGGTTGAAATTGAGTTTGGAATCCATTGGGATACCAATATCGACAAAATTGGATACCTGCTCCAGATTATAATTTGATATAGAATAAACAGTTGGTTGAACTGCCCTTCGAGAGAAACACATAACCTTACATTTTTTAAGGTTTAGTGGCATGTAGTTTGCATTACACCAACTAACCACTTTGCTTAGATCCACTTGTAACAAAGACCTTTCTTCGTTACGCGTTATTTTTTTTATTTCCGAACCATTGAACCGAACCGAAACCCCGGTTCAAAGAGCAAAAAAACCGCTTTGACGAACCAATCAAAAAGTGCAAAAATGGTCCGAACCGCTGAACCGAACCGTCCAAATATTTCGCCCGGTTCATGTCCCTGGTAAATCTTAATAAAACAAAATGTCGAAATCAGTTTCATATAGAAACAGTGTCATCGTTAATTAAGAAAGAGATGTTCATAAATATCATAACTTTACGACACTCACATATTGACTAGATTTGACTATTAATTTATTATTTTTAAATTTTAATTACTTGCTTATAAAAACATAAATTATTCCTTAAAAAAAACTGTATGAAAATAAGTTTAAATCTTTGAACAACATTAAAAAAATCGACAAACTTTCGTAAAAATTTCGAGCTTTCTATTTCTATTTAAATTTTTTTTTATATTTTGCGGTTTTTTGGTCCTTTAATTTTTGGTATAATAAAGTCAAAGTTCAAAGTAACTGGGATTTACCGTTGAAGTGTGGCATATTTTTGACGATGTCGGCCATTTTCTTCCATATTATCTAAGTATGACGATAAGTCGCAGCTATTTTAAACTTGCACTTTATAAAAAGCTCGACATTTTTACGAAAGTTTGCTGATTTTTTTAACGTTGCGTTAAGATTGAACCTTGGATTTATACGGGTTTTGTTAAAGAATAAACTGCATTTTTATAAACAAATAATTAAAATTAAATAATTTTAAGATAAATAGCCAATCTTGTCAATATGTGCGCGACGTAAAGTTTTGATAAGCACTTGAAATACTATTTAAATGTCAGGTTTTAGTAGGTACTGAATTCAAAGAAGATCTCTCTGTTATCCATTCATAATAACTTAACAAAATTTTTTTGTTAAGAAGTGTACCTTAAATATGTGCATACACATTTATGTTAAAAGTGTAAAATATGTAAATGTACCTACATACATTGGTCTTGAAGGGAATCTATGTATGCATGCACTAAAAAAATATATGAGCAAATTAAAAACTCAATACAATTGACAGTCGAAGAGTACAGTT